TGTAAATGCCCTTGGGCTGTTCATCTGATGAGGAGCTGTCCTCACTCAAACCCAGACCAGGCATGACACACACTGCATCAATCCTGATTTAAAGTACTATTTTCACCGACTATCTACGTAGCCATGGTCAAGAAATACAGCTACTTTCAGCAACTCCCTTCCTCTTTCTCATATCCTGGGAGTTCTGCCCACATTTCTAACCATCCTGTACATCTTTAAATCATTAATTATACACACAGAGAGATACACACACACATATATATCCTTCAAAAGCAGCATGAGGAAGATAAAAGGAATACTCTGAACTAGAGCAGGGAAAGGACAGACAACCTTCCAAAAGCAAACTTCCATAAACTAGCCTTCAAAATCAGCTTGTTCGTTGCAATGGATAAATAATAGTTTGCGGATCCTAGCCCACAAAGAACACTATTTTTATGTCTTTTTGGTTATCAGGTAACCTTCTCTATAAATATATTTTCCCACAGTTTTGGAATCTGTTCTTAGACCAGAGGGCAAAACGCTATTTCCATGTGTTTTTGTTTTTCACACTGCATGCCAACACTGGAAATATTAAGTCAACTGTTAGGTGTGTGTCTCTTTAATGAATGTTTCACAAACATCTAGATGCCTACAAGTAGTCACTGTTGTTTTTCCGTCTGGGCAGAATGACTCAGCTGGGCAGGGACAGAGCTATCTTTAACACTGTTAAATCCAGTGTCACTATGGAATGAAACATAAGCAGATGAACCTCCAGGTAAGGTGAGGTCAGACAATGTCATTCGCCACACCTTATTATATCACTGGCCTTTTGTGCACGTTCTTTTGGCCTGTTTCTCTTTTGGAATGTTGAAGTTCAGCTAACCTTGGTGTTGGCATTTCAACAAATTCCTAGTGATTCAGTCCCAGCCCTCCCATGCGCCAGGTTTGGTCCTCAATGTGATGCTGAACTGCAGGTCCCATCATCCTTGACAATTGGCCGTGCTTCCTAGGGCTGGTGGAAGTTGTTGTTCGGCAACATCTGGAGGGCATTTTGCATTAGGCAGAGTGAGGTGCCTCAGGTAGCAAAATGTCTTCAGCCAGCCCCTTTGAATGTATATCTTGTTGCTTGGTGCAAGAGTAAAGCCCAAGAAGTTAAAAGGCATTACTATAGCAAGCATTTGATACTTATTGCTGTCGTAATTCCTATAATGTGCAGAACCTGTCTCCTCTTAGCCACAGTAATTCACTAAAGAAAATAACCATCTCGTTTCCATAAAATCTTCCTCAAAATTTCAATTCATTGGTTGAAAATTTAAAGGGCTGCAGTCAGCATTCTGCCCAAAGGCCTTTGAGCCAGCAGATGGGTGAGTTTTAGCGCTACACAACAGAGGAAGCCAACACAACCAGGGCAGCAGCAGAAACATGTTGTGCAAGAGATTGTGCAACCTGTTTGTGCATTCTCTTTTGCAACAACGTTCCACTGGTGCAAAACAAGTACAACACTAAAGGACTTTAACTTACCACTACACAGGATACAACCCAAAGTTCCAAAATATCCCTTTCACACAAAGATGGACAAATTCCGGAATCAAAGCAATAAGTTAGGAGAAACAGGCCTTTTACTCTTTCATTTGATGTGTTGTATCATTCTGGGCATGCATGTGTCATTGCTGAACTTTCCAAATGATGCATATTCATGAGATCTGGCAACCCAAATATCTCTGAACAAAGAAGAGTAATGTTTTAGAGAACGCCAGTTAGCCTCTTATCAAGCACGCCTGAACATATCTTCTGTCAAGCAGAGTCAAATAAATTAAGGAGCCTGAAGTCCAGTCCAACAGAATGTCCAGGTGGGATGTCTCAGTCAAATAGATGTTGGAACTGGGACTGTGTTATCGTGCATGGCATTTCTGAAACATGGAGGCAGATGTGGGGGAAGCAGAGGCCATGGGTGGGAAGGAGGCGTATACCCCTCATACTAATGGGGTTCTGTTATTGCAAGGCCTCCTGCTTTCTCCATACAAGACAATGGAGTGGCATTTGTTCTTTTTTTTCAAAAATTTTATTGATTTTCCAAAAAATTTAAACAAACAAACATAAATCTTAACTGTACTTAATCCAATCTTAGTAACGTTGTTAAGTGACTTCCTCGAATCCCCCTGACTGAGTTTCAGTGTATATCATTGTAACAGTTTTCCAAAACCAATTTTCTCATAAAATTAATTTAATCACTTAAGATCTTTCTTTCTTTTCATTTTAACTTTAAACATATTATTCTCTAACATCACATTTTTAAATCCTAAGCCTATCTGGTATTTGCAAGTTTTTCTATTTAAATTATCTTAACATATTTAACTAAATAGTCTTTGAATTTCATCCCTTCCTCCTGGTACTCCTCCTCCTTCTGGTCGCGGATGCTTCCGGTCAGGTCAGCTAGCTCCGAAAAGCCCATCATCTTCATCTGCCATTCCTCCACTGTTGGCACTTCTTGTGTTTTCCAATTCTTAGCTAACAAAATTCTAGCTGCAGTTGTGGCATACAAAAACAATCTAACATCTTTCTTGGGCAATTCCAGTCCTGTTATTCCAAGAAGAAAGGCCTCTGGTTTCTTAATAAATGTATATTTCAACATTTTTTTCAATTCATTATAAATCTGCTCCCAGAAGTCTTTCACCGGCATTGTTCTTTGTTTAAACCAGGGGTGGGAAACTTCAGTCCCAGGTGCCAATGTGGTCCTCCAGACCTCTCTACCTTTGGGTCACCCCTTCCCCTCAGGCCACAACCACCCCAGCCCTGCTCCACAACATCCTTGAGTGTTTTTGCCTGACGGAAATGTATCCTTGAATTCGGATAATGCCTCTTTCTTGTGTGGCTGGAGAGATGTGGGTGCATGTAAAAACCACTAACATTTACATGGCTGGAATGTAGCCTGCTGTGCAAAGGTAGGAGTCCCATCTGGTAGTGCACCCACTTGTTCCTCTGGCTTCATGCAGTTTTGCCTCTGAGCCCTGATTCTCCCAGAAGGTTACCCATGAGAGAATGCAGACCTTGGGCTGAAAGTTTTTTCCTCAGCCCTGGTGTAGAGAGAACCAGTGCCTGAATGCCCAATCCCACAACTCCCTCCAATTTTAGCCAAATACCCACCTACCCCATAGCCTTCTGTTGAAGGTCCCTCGCAGAAGCTAAGTGAGTTACCCCCTCTGGACCCTTTGAAATTGGAGAACTAGACAAAAGTGGAGATTCTGAAATCAAAATACTCGTTGATTGGGGAGTCCCAGTTGTTAGCACCATGCATATTCTATTACCACATCTATAGTCAGAGTGAAAAGCCAGCTTGGACTTATTTAGACAGCTTTTCCATATCACAGGGGCAAAACTAGGCTTTATTTCACTTACAGTACACCCTTGTGCAAATTAATTGAAACAAGCAATGTAGTTTATTGTACAAAACTCACATATACATGTACAAAACTCATATATACTTACATTAGTAACGGATATGACCTCCGCTATTTTTAAGCAGCATTTGAACACGGTTTGTCATGGAGTCTATTAGTTTCGAACAGTCACTGTTGATTTTCGGGTCCCTGTACCACACTTGAATCAGCACCTGAATGAGCTTCTCCATAGTCATACACAGTCTATAGCACAGAAGTGACTTTTGCATATAGACCACAAATTCTCAATGGGATTTATGTGCAGGGAATTCCCTAGCCAATCAACTACCTGTATTTGCTGCTCTGTCATGAATTTCTTCACCACTTTTGATGTGCGACAGGGGCTAGGTCCTGCTGCAATATCCCAGTACCGTCAGGATACCTCTTTTCCAGCTCTGGAATAACTCTTTTGTAGAACCTAGTATATTGTGGCAAGCGCATCATTCCTTCTATTGGCTGCAGGCATCCGACACCATAATGATCAACTGACTTTGCGTGTTTGTTTTGAGCACAGGATTATGAGTAAGATAGAAAACATGCTTTGTTTCAATTAATTTGCACAAGGATGTAGGTCAAAGACCCAGTTTTGCACCCCCAACAGACATTTGTATACACACACACAGGCTGGGAGCCTCAATAGCATCCCTCTGGAGGCTTCACCAAGGGCAAAAAAACCCCCAACTCCCCCCTACAGAAACTATATATTTAAGGACATTGGCCTATTATTTAGTTGCACTATGCACCCCGGCTTGCCAATAAACACAGTCTGTGATAGTTGTATCTCCAAGAATGTGTTCAGAGGGGAGCGCCAGGTGACACAGCGTCACAGCCTCTGTGACAAAGCATGCAGGGAATTAATTGCACATGCTGGGCATCCATGTGCCTTCATGAGGAACAAGTACTTCACACACCAATTTACATTAGGAATGAGGTGCCAAAGGATGAAGAGGCAAAAGAGACATAAACCCTTTTTCATTAACAACAGCACAACACTTTCCACTTTTGATAAAGTCTTCGCAGACAACTTCAAATATTTCCCTCTGGATGATAGGAATGTTTAAAAAAAACAAATCAGGGTTTTTAGGCCAGAGAGGAGCTTGTTACAGCTGAACTCCACATCCAAAGCCATCTACCTAACACCAGTTGCTCTCTGGTACATATTCTGACTCACTGTTATATTGTAACATTATGATTTTATTAATGTGTTTTCATTTATGTTACTTATAAACTGCATTTCAAGGATTTGCATCCTGAGAGGCAGTATATCATTGATTGTAAATGATGATGATAATGGTAATAATAGTAAACAAAATACTTGCTATCTCCTTTTTCTCTTTTGATAAGCTTACGGGCAACCTTCATTTGCATTCCATCTTTCTACCTTCCCTCCTTTCCTTTCCCTTGTACTTCTCAGTGGTTTTAAGGCAGCCTTAAGGCAGTGCATCAGCCAGCATTGAGTCCCACAGAGCCACTGGATACATCTTCTCCTTGGAAGCTATGCTTACCTCACTGCTGATCTCATAAAACTGTGAGAAATATGACTTCACAATGAAGAACTAGGATAAGACATTCCTGTCCCTTGAAGCAGAATGTCTGTCTTTCTCCTTCTGATTTCTTAAGTGCCAGAAAGCTCTGTGTCTTAGTGCATGTTCTATAATTCAAAATAACAAATTGGTATGTTGCTATTGGGCTTAAAATGCTTTACAATTGCTTAGTGCTTTGTTGTTTAGCATGAGGCAGAGGTGTCCCTTTCTTTCTTTCTTTCTCTCCCTCCCTCTCTCTCTCTCTCTCTCTCTCTCTCTTTCTTTCTTTTTAGCTAACATCAAACAAGCAGCCAGAAACTTCATTTCAGATGGAAATCTCAGTAAAGGCTCAGAAGGGGAAAGCAAATACAGTAAGAATGCAGCATTTTGTGGTTTACATTTTTTCCTCTAGAGGGTATACATCAGATTCACATGCCCACACATCCTCTCCTGTCAAATCAGCTTTGCACGTAATTTCTGTGACTTTTGGTGCCAACTGAACACAACACTGGTCTGAAGCTTTAAAAAAAATAGAATCAAAATTCCCTAGCCTGAAATTCCCTTCTGAAATTTTGCAGGTTAGTTTCCTAAGTGCACTTCTATGATTTATACAATTTTCATACTATTGAAAATTGTATAAATCATACAATCTTTTCTTTCTTCCATTTAAGTCTTTTCTTTCTTCCATTTAAGATTTAAAATCAATCTTAAAAGCACCTAGCACAAAATAACCTGTATCTATCATTCTAAAGTTTGTCAGCTTTCTGACTGAGGGTCACCTCTGTTTTCATAAAAAATCAACTGTAAAAAAAGGGGGGATATTAAGTGAATTTTTTTACCTTCTAAAATATGAAAATATTGTCCTTGCATGAACACCCATTCACCTCCTCTAAATGGGCTACCATGCCTGTAAATGTCACCCAGTTTGCCAAAATTTAAAGGAAGTTATAGACTATTCCATTTGTTAAAAAATCAGTATGTCCAAAACAAAACCCTGGACCTATTTGTCTGGAATCTACCATGTTTTGTCCACTAAGGAGTAGCTGCCTTGTCTGCAAATTTCATCTAATTTTGCCCAAAAAAATAGCTTTAAAACAACAACAGCAACCCCATAGCAGTGATTAGGGAGACATGAAGCTTTGGTTTCCTAAATCAGGATTTGGATTTGGACCTAAGATGAATTGGTCAGTCTCCACATCAGTCCAAGCTGAATCAGACAGTGGTTTAAGAAAGAAAGAAAGAAAGAAAGAAAGAAAGAAAGAAAGAAAGAAAGAAATTGGGCAGGTTTTTTAAATGATTAATCAGGATCCAAACTGAATCATGTGGTCAGTTCAAACTCCTAATTTTCACATGTCCCAGATATGTGACTGAATACTGTGTGTGTGTGTGTGTGTGTGAATAAATAGTAGGAGTCTTAACTTACATGGCTGAGGTTTAGATCAGCCTCTTCCTGCCACACCACAGCCAGAGATTTTAACAAATCTCCTCAACAGAATATTATCACTGTGCCTGAAAGATGCACATTGTGATGCCATGTTCCTTCTCCACAAAGCCATTGTTATGAGTTTTCTACCATATTTTTCTGAATAGGAATCTCACTGTGGGTTTCCTTAAGTCAGAGGTGGAAAATGTTTTTCTTTTCAGTGATTCATCGGTGGGCAGGGGGGAATCAATCAGGATGCCCCCATGGTTATTCCCCCCCCCCCCCGTGGATCAATGGCCCATAGGATGCCTTTGAAAGAGCAGATTGGATTGGCTGGTGGGAAGGAGGTTGCCTGAGGAGAGCTTTGGAGATACATATCATGCCAGCTGACAGCCAATCTAGTCCACTGTTTGGAGAAATAGGGGTGAACTTAATACTCTTATTGATCTGCTTGAGAATCCTGGAGCACAGATTATCTTCTCCAGTCAATACTCAACACTAACAATGAAGATAGACTCAGAAAGCTGATGCTGCAGCAAATGTAAGTAGTAATATCCAAGTCTATATCCAAAGAACTGCTCTTATTCTTTCGATATCCTAAGTACTATTGCTTTTCTGCCTCATGTATAGCAAAAAAGACCTCTCACATGTTTTGCTCTCCCAGCTCTCCCACCATTCAGCAAATCTTCTCTTACATTGGAATGGAAGACCTCCAGTTCATGGTTCAAATTTGGCCTAGAAAGCCACCACCCCCAAACCACATCCACCTGCCGCACTCCTGACATCAAATATGAGGTGGGTAAAGATGTGACTGGATTGGCTGTGTGAACAAGTCCCACAAGTTCCACACAGCCTATCTCTGCGAAGGTAGGCTTGAAGTCCCCACCCTTTTAGACTGACTCCACCAACCCTAATCTGCTCTTATCCAAAAAGGACTTTGTCCACGCTTTCTGGGCTACAGGAAAATCATCTGCTGTCTAAACGCCCCACTAAATGCCACTTTGCTTTCATCATCTTATCCAGAACAGAAAGCATAAACAGATTGGTTGTAATCTTGTTACTTTACTCTTGCTCTTTATTAGCCAAAATCAGGCCAACATCCTTTTGAAGCCTGTCCAAAATGGATTGTATCTCTGCCTAGTGGGAAGGACCATTAACAATGTCATCCCTTGCTTATAAATGTGCTGGGGAAAGTTTATTCACTGGCAGGCTGCGTTATTGGCAAGAAGGCAGCAGTTAGCATTAGGGAAACAGCCAAGAAAGGTCATACATTAAGAAAAATACACACTAAACTCTGGATAGTCTTTTTGTGCATTCTAGGGAACATGGGCATAATGAGAACAATGTCACCCCTCCTACCTCCTGAACATAAGCTGTCTATTAAAGTACAATTAGCCTTCATCCAATGTGTGGGGAGCAAGAATAATACATAGGGTTGCCATACATCCTCTTTTTCTAGGACACGTCCTCTTTTTCAGTAGTAAAATTTCTGTCTGGGTGGATTTCTCGAATTTACCAAAATGTCCAGGGGGGTTTCTTTGGTACCCAATTTTTCCCTCCCTGGTGCCCTCCCATGTCACTCCAGTGTGAAATGAAGGAACTGCAGAGGAAGGTGCAGAGTATTTCTTTGCATTGTAAGACTGTCTATTTTGTAAGTGTCAGAAATATACCATAAAAGTGATGCTGGCATATGTCTGATCAGTGGGGAATGCTAGACAGGGTTAGTTTTGTGGGGAGAAGAGTGTTTCTTGGTTCCATCTCTCCCATGGAATGCTTTTAACTTTGCTTGACAGTTCTGTTAAACTAAACAAATTTGTTATATTTTACTTTGTTAGTTCACTCTTTTTGCTGGGGGCATAATATGGACAATAATTGGTGGACCTGTTTATCAGATGGGTGTCAGGAATATTAAGAAGCTACCAAGAGCTGGACTCAATAACAGTCAGATCCCTTCCATCCCAACAATTCCCTTCCTCTTGCAGCAGTATTGAATTATTGGGTTTTTAAAGATGGGAGGGGGGATATTTCCAAGGGGTAATAAAGTAGAGAAAACAAATGTTGGAAAAGTGTATATGATGAGAACTTTGTGTCTTCAAAAGCACTGATGCTTCTTTGCCAAAAGCTTATGTCAAATATATAACAGGGGCTGTTCTTCACAGTTTAAGCAGCTTTTAATGTTAAATGAAAGTTTGCCCTTAGTAATAAAATGCCACCAGTGCAAATAGAAATGAAAGGAATAGTTGTGGCCTCCCGAAGAAGCTCCTTTATTATGAAAATTGTGAAGAGTAAAATGAAAAAGATTTTTGATCTAAAAAACAGAGATCGCAGCCCCTGCTCAGCTGGAAGTTGCCGGGGGTGATAGGGAAGTCATGCTGGCCCAATGAAACCTACCTCGTAGGACTTGGTATGTTCTGGGTTATGACTTCCTGTGATGTTATTGTTCACTATTCTTTCATTTTATGAATGCATGCTTACATGTACAAAATTTAATAAAAAGGGAGGGATCCACCCTAACTGCTGTTAAGTTTTAGAACACTAATGGTTGGTTTGGATTGTCACTTTCTTTTGAAAAGAATTCGTATTACACTCTTTATTGCAATGTCATACTGAATTGTTATGTATTTTGCTGTTGTATCGTGAGGTGCTATATGAGAAAGTGGTGTACAAATGGAAATAATAATAATAAACTTTAAAAAGAAATTCAAAACTGATGTGATTGTATGTGGTGAGTTTAGTGTCACATCCGGTCAGGCCCCAAATTATTGAAAAATTATTCAGCACAGCTATTTGATGGAATATGATAGAGCACTGTTGCCTGGACACCTCTACCACTTCAGCTTAGCCCTTGGAGGACCATGATGGAGGTGCTCCTACATATGCATTCTAGTTACACAACAGGTTGCATAGTGATGCAGTGGTGTGTGATAGCAAAGCTGCAACATGGAACTCCATAACAAAAGAGACCTGCTGATCCTTCATGAAATAAGAGTGATTTGTCAGCATGGAATGAACCAGACCACATTAGTGGTGATGCTTCAACAATTTCTGCTGGCATCCTGTTATACAACCATTTTCATTGCAATGTCTTGGGGATGCCAAGGGCTTTGGTTGTATCAACACAGGGCATGAACTCCAGCTTTGTAGATAGAAAGACATGCTGACTATTTAGTCCAGATTAGTGTTTGCATCCAAATGTGGGGCTGATCTGAAACCGTTCATTCTGAACATTTTTATAGCACAGAAGGATTGGTTTTTCATACCAGAGGTACAAGCTTCCAAGTAAACAAATTGCATCAGTGGAAAAGGCAATCTCCCATCTAGTGCCCAAGCACACATACCAGCTTAAGACTCTTGCACAGGGAGTCATGGATAAGTTCTGGCTTTTCCTAATGAACAGCGGACCTTTAAACTCTTCCACAGTGGTTAGCATGCCAAGACAGACTGAACTGTCATGACTACAAAGCCTGTCTCAGAAGCCATAAGGCAAATTCTCAGTTTAATTGGGAAAGATTTAATGAGTAGATTGGGAAATATTTAATGAGTGAAAGGGAAACTCATGTTTGCATGAGTTGAAGAAGGAATCTTGAGTCCCAGCTGTGGGTTTTTTCAAAAAAATGAGCTGTTGAGAAATAAGCTAGGATTGTTGAGGGAGTGGCCATCCCTTTATATGCTGTGGTATAGTGCAGAATGATGTGAGTCAGGCGAAAGAGATGCTGTAGACATAGTTTGGTGCTCAAACGGCTTTAAAGGCAATAACGTCCTTGCCAAAGGAATCTAATGTGGAAGGAGAATGTGAGATGACTTCCTCATCATTACTCTTCCGTCTCCAGTGGCTTGAGAGCTTTGACGGGATGTTTTCCCCCAAAGAATATCTTGGTTTGGCACGGGGGGGGGGGGGGATATACTTATTCACATGCCACCCCACTTTCCAAGTGGTGTGAGATTCCAGGGGTCTTGGTTCTTATTCACAGTTTAAGATTCCTTTCAAAAATTGGGCACAGTAGAGACTGTGGTGTCTTTATGATATATGGTTTATTTACACGTATATAAAACCTGAGTCTACAGTGGAGGGATTTCCAGCATTCACATCTCCAGATGATTCTTTGCTCCTCTCTTAGGAGCAGTAGGCTAAGGGCTACAAAAAGAGAAACCATCCATGCTGCCTGTCCCTTTGTTACAGCTAGATCCAGCCAGCCCTCAAGAGTTCTGCTAGCCCCGCTTTTCCCTTGCTTTCCAAACCTCTTGTAAAATGCCACAATTTTACATCAGCCTACATCATCCAAGCTAAAACCCTAAACCTTTTCTTTTCCATGCCCACTAGCACACACACCTGGAGAAGCAGCTCCTCCCCTCCTTGCCTGGCAGTCTTGCCCTCTGCTGGTTTCTTTGCTGAAACCAGAGTTTGTTCCCTGCTGATGGCCCATCTTAGTGGTTATGCCAAGTTGGCCTGGGTTGTTAGCATAAACTGAATCCAGTGAGTTTCAGCGTTTGGCACAGTTTAATCAAACCTTGATTAATTCTAACTTTTACTACATCCAGGAATTATGGTGTGAATTGGAGTCACAGGTTTGCCACCCATACCATATACTAGGGATACATATCAGCTTTGTGTACATGAGTAAATAACAAGGAAAACTGGAGTGTCTGGATGGTGGAACTGATGCCAGCAAAAGCAAGCTCCTCCCGCTTTCTAGGTATTTTGCTTTCCCTCCACCTGCAGAAAATCAGTGAGATACCCCAGGATTATTGCCACCTGCAGGTGGGTTGACAAAAAAGAGGGAGAGAGCATATTTGCCCTATCGTTCCTCATATTCCTGTGGCATTGCCTCCTATATCGTTATGTGCAATATACAAAGGAGTAAAAGAACTGATATTGAGATGTCTGCCTTAAGAAGGTCAGAAGCACCGTATTCAGGGTTAAAATACTCTGCAGTTCAGGCTCACTTTTTAAAAAATAAAGAACCCTGTCAAAGAAGAGGGATGAGAGACCACTGCAAGTTAATGCATTCAGATTTCTTCTCCTGATAATTCCTGTTCACCTCGAGTTTGCCTCAGCCATTAGAATGATGGGAGGGTTATGAATAAGCAAAGCTATGGAAAGAATCTCTATCTGGCATTTTGGGGTGGATTTTTATAAGGCTCTGGTTACACAGAACAGAACTTCAGATGTCACTATTTATTACTTTAGCACTGGGGGGGGCGGAGTAGGGGATCTTCATCACAGCATCCTGTATACAAAGTCAGTGTGCCAAATTCTACTGAACAAGGAACTGCAGAAAACTGATTCCACTCCCTCACCCCTGCCTGTCTAAAGAAGGAATAGAGATAATGGTAATTCATTTTTCCTTTATAAAAATGTGCATTGTCATTTTAATCAGTTTTCTTTTTTAAAAAAATACTATTTAACCAATTACATTTTGTTTTCCACTGCTATGTTATCATGAATCCAATAAATGATTATGATGATGGTGATGATATACGACAGGGTATGGGAAACATTTGGCCCTCCAGATGCTGCTGAACTAGAATTGACATCAGCTCCAGCAACCATAGCCAAAGGGAGTTGCAGTTCCACAACATCTGGAGGGTCAAAGTTCCCCCACACCTGCAATAGGACCTATGCAGCCCAATTCTTAATTACCTAAATGCGACTTAATCTTATCAGGATTATTTTCATAAATTTGGTCCTCTGTGCTACCAACCACTTACACATTGGTATTCAAATGGGAGATTCAAGTCCAGTTTATGTGAGGGAAAATTACAGGAATACAGGACGTTCTATTTATTTCATTCATTTTCTTTCCTAAATTTTGCAATTTCAATAAAGGCAAAGCCTACTTGGCTTTAAACAGTAAGCTACATCCAGTATCATATGCAAATAGAAGGGAAATACAGACATATGGATGTGAAATATGACCACCCTCACAAAACAATTCTGCATGGTGTTAGAGATGGCTGAGAGAAAGTATAAACATATCTTAAGGGAATGTTCATAAATGTTTGTTGTTTCCTCATAACTGTCACAGGCATGAGTATATAAGGACACTCCTGTGTCATTTGAAACTGAAGAGCTGGTATCCATTTTTTGATGCTCATCTTTTGATCCAAAGGAGATACTCATCAAGAGGAGATGGGGTAAAAAGTGAAGCACTCTTTTGTCAGAAGGAAGGTTCTTTGCTTTTCTCCAATTAGTGTGACCTCAAACTGTTCTTGCTTAACCTATGTTCACACCATTTTAGGGCACTTAAGTCTGATTCACATATGACCCAAAGAAAATCGTTATGTAGGAAAGAAACAAGTGCACCCATGCACACACTGTCATGTTTGAAAACAGCATGAGGGTTATACATACTTGGAAGTCATTTTCAAGTGAGAGTCACTGCCCAGTGGCCAACCTTGTCACCCTGCAAAAGTTGCTGTACTACAACTTCCATAATCCCTGATTATTGGTCATGCTGTCTGGGGCTGATGGGAGTCTGACGACATCAGCAAGGCCACGGGTTAGCCAACCACGTGATAAATGTTGTGTCTCAAGAAACAGCTGCTTCCCATGCCTTTGCTGTGCTCTGGAAGTTATCTTGTTATATGAGGAGGACTTCCTAAGAAATGAAACTGAGGGAACAGGGTACTCCCTTTGATGCCACATGGCATCCTGTCAAACCATTCCACTCTGCTGGCTCCTCATCAAGTTCAACAAGCAAGCCAAAGAAGGGCAAGGGTGAGCTGCATTGGTCCAGAAAGTATCTTACAGATATACAGCCACCCAAATGGTAGACTTGAACATACAAGCTGGGCTGCTCCTTCATTAAAGGGTTTTGGTCCTGAATTGTGTAAGTGCATATGGAATTATTGTTCTTAGACTGATTGACTAGTTTCACTTTTTCTAATGTTTTCATTGTCTCCCTATTTTCATTTGTGTCACTTACGAGCATTATGGGCTACAGCTTTAATATATGCATTTTGATGGTCTGGTCTTTTTTTTTAGGGTTGCCTTTTTATCAGTTGCTTTGTTCACAAACATATTTGTCATCCGCATGACAGAAAACCTGCATGATGCTGCAAGCTTTTCTTCGTCTTCATGATGACTTCTGAGAGTGAATGTCTTGACTCCTATCCATTACTCCTGTCCATTACACAGCTTTGTGTAGTTGCTTTCTCTCTGTTCTTTTCCAAAGGGAGCATTTCAACAATCATTTTGAAGGCAGTTTAGGGATGTTACAGCAGCCCAAGGCACCTGAAGATTAGGAACTAGGGAATACTTATAGATGTTCACTAACTTCCTTCCCCTTGTTTTAGAAACAAACTTTTATTCTGCTATAAATCAGCATTGCTGGTTAGTTTTAAAAAAACAAACCTATAAGGTTCTGTGTTAAAAACCAAAAGAAAGAGAAATAGTTCCTATTACATCCTCTGCCCCACTCTAACTCTCTCAAATTTCAGTTGTGTAAATATTCCATATATAAGCAGTTCTTAAATAGTTCCAGGGACAGCGTGCCCGGAGTCTGATTTCCTTTGGATGAGACAGCACTTAGTAGTGTCTTTCTACTATTGTTTCATTTACAAATATAAAAGTATATTAAAGATGAGAAGGCAAAAGCAGACAGTCCTCCTACAAGGTGGCAGATCCACAATCTCTCATTAGTTGGAAGCGGGAAAAGAAATTCTACCTTCAT